GAAACATCTTATGGTTTTATACATGTACTAAAAAAGTATCACCACTATACGTTTTTGAAGATAAACGATGTTATAAAAGAATCCCTATCTTTTATAAGAATAAAGTACATTTCGTGGATACACTTTCACGAAGAACCTATTTCTGGGATACCGCAGTCCCATGTGGATCAGAAAACAGCCACAATGTAGTACAACTAAACCCTGATGAAAATAAATATTATCTTCTCACTCCATATCCCACATTAATGCAATCACTCAAAAAATTTTCACCAGAAAGCATTCGCGCTATCGCTCGAAACCCAAATATAGATTTACAATCAATAGGAATCTATTCAAAATCAGATATTCAACATCACATTAGAACACAACAATTCCAAGAATTATTAACACAAATGGACACTATACAAAGACAATCAATAGACCAAAATTTACGCAAACTTGCAGAAACCGCAGGATTTGCCGATATCTACACGCAAGACTATAGCGGATATTTTAAAGACATTAAAGATTATATATATCTAAACGGCGAAAAATACCGTCCCCAAGATATATCACCAATTAACATTTTTAGCTTTGTTACACTCAAAAATGAAATCCTTGATTTTCTAGGATGGCCCTACTACATCTTAGAAAAATTGACTATTTTATACGCAATGTTTAACTTTATTGGATTTCTTTTCTCACTCTTAAAAGGAATCTACAACACATGTGCTATACACACACAAGTAAACAGACAAGCAAGCGTAGCACGCATACTCTTTGCAGGATTTTTTGGAATCTTTTCTACATCTATAAACAAAATTCTTTTAGACGCACAAATAAAAGAATATAACACAAAAATAACAACACGACAAAATACATACGACGAAGAACATAACAATGTAGACATAACGCCAACGGCACCACAATTACCACCCCTACCAAATAACCATCCACTATCCCTAGTCCCACGAACTTTTCGAAATTTAGCCATCACACATAACCCAAATTTTCGACTCACCACATCACAAAGTCCCATTCAACATTAAATGACACACCAGCCACAAGATGATAATACTTATGAACAAATTATTGAACAACCCCATACCACCGCTTTTCAGTCTCAAAATAATCATTTTTTTAGCCCACGATGAGCCGCCAACTTGGATCACTACACCGATCAAATTCCCACCCAACCAATCTTACCTCTACATTCCCAATAATACCACTTTTTGCTTTCCCACCACCCGATTTTCCATCTAGCAATGTAACATCAGGCATGAATTCCGACACTAATTCACACATCTCAGTTTTATATTCCATCTCACAGCTAAATAACCCGAATATTGAAACCCCCGATGAATTTGCCGACTCAGAACCATCCCCATCCAATAATTTTCATAACCCTTCTAATTTTTCTCAACCCCCTTTTCAACCCATATTATCCAATAACCCTGACCCAATCACCCCCACACCCTCTTATGCTTCCCAAGTTACCCCAACCTATTCCTCATACCATTCTGACCGATCATCTCATTCTCCAGACACCCCCCGAATCTCCTCAGAATTAGATAATTTTATTACCCTCCAACAACAACCCTACCACCTTAACACCCCGACCATAAACCAAATCTCCTCCACTACAAATTCATCCAATCCCCCTACACCCTCTTCAAATTATACTGAATCATTAACACCATCATCCACATCCACTATATCTTCACTCAACACTAATAGAGCTTACCGCACTTTTAAAAGAAAATTCCCCAACCATCCTTTCCCAGCAAAACCAGGAACAGCCCGTGAATACATCAACCACCCCCAGCATACTAACACTAAAGAATTTTTAGCTATCACTTTACCCTCGTTTCCACAATACACCTTAAACACCCCTCACGACGCTAACGAAACACGCAACTTTGTAGATGAATACGTTTTAATGCCCACTCTCTCTTGGACCTCATACTATCATTTCACTAACCCTCTTTGCTTACCTTTATCCAACACTTCCATCGATATAGAACGAAACAAAGACATGCTATATCGACTAACTACACCACTAACCGCTAGACAGTTTACTTACGTTGGATATAAAAAATCACTAAAAATACACACTGCACCTAGAGCTAATGAATATACACTAGAATACTACGATCACAACATCATTAGAGCTAACCAAGATCAATTCTTAGACGACGATCGCTTCGCTAATCCACAAATCACCGAGAAATTTTTCATCAAGACACCATATGTATTTACACTAAACATCTTCGACCGAAAGTTTGATCACATTATTTCAGAAGCACTAACAAACACACAAGCATACGAAAGTTTTAAAGAACGCTTCCAAATCTTTTCACTAACCTTTCATTTCCTTGCACCACACGAAAGAGATTTGCACTGCTCACATGATATTATGTTGCGCACTAAACAAACACATACATACAGTTACTATCGTTTCATCCAAAATCACTTTGACCTCCACACACCCTCTAGACAACCACACCATCGTTTTCAATTCATCAATTCAAAATACACTTCACCGTATTTCCTAAATTTCACATATTGTATTAAAGACACTAACCTCCATGGTATTCTTCGTAATTATGACCCCATAACCCAAATGTACATTTTCTGCCCCATCACCAAGACCTTCAACGCCGAAGAATCCCGACCCTTCCTTATCTCGCACGAGTTTGTACAGCCTATAGAAATCCCAATTTTAGAATTCATCCACAACACGAAATTTAACCACAAATTATATAACTTAATCCAAAACACACCTTATGAGTTTGCAGTAGGCACTGAAGAACTAACCACTATCGAGGCACTTCAATTGCTTTGGCCACTGCTTCAAACTAAAAATATCATCCGCATCTTAGCTAAACTACTAACAACTTCAGAACTAATTCACGACATCTTCCCCCACGGTTTTTTCCCCGACGACTAACAGGTAAGTATGAATTAAATGAATATTACTAACTAATTAAAATATTAAAAAACTCACCATACTTTATTCATGTTTTCTTTAGATTTTTAGCCTTCATCCGACGATCACCTACAAAAACCACAAAAGACAAATAAAAATCGCAAATTTCATCAAACAGATTTCAAAAATTCTATTAATCTCTTACACTTATAAATTTATAAATTTAATACCAATGCAGTAAATTCATTTCTAAAATTTTCCCCCACAAGCAGTAAATCTAATTATGATGAAAATTTGTATCTTAATATTCCCCCATGACTAGCAGTAAATTTCTAAATTCTATGTAGTAAATTAAATAAATGCAAATGCAGTACTAACCTTTTGATATTTTCATTCATTTGCACAGAAATTCTATCCACACTCGCACAGCTCGCCCACGAAGAATTGTTTAAAATAATGAATTTCAGTTTCAAGTTTTCACACTCAATAACTCTAACACACGATAACAAGTTTCAAACTTTCCTTTAACCCGATTGGAAAGGAATCATATACTAAACAAAACTAACCAACGCAGCTTACTAAATACCACAAATCATAGAATAACAGCATGACTAAGAAAAGGAAACCAACGGTACCCAAACCGGATTAACCCAGTTTAAAACTGGATAATTTATTCTTTTGAAGACTATTATAAAGTCTTAGAAAGAAATAATAAAACACAAAAAAGTCGAAAGACAAACCCATACCACAAACAATTTGATTTTTGAAAAAAGGACATAACCAACAAGACATAAGTAAAACCACAACAAACCCAACATAAAACGTTGTCACATAACAGGACCCCTCACAAACACCGCATGAAATCATACTCCCACTCCTGGCCTAACCCACCAGGAAAGGACGTCCTGAGCATGCTCTATAGCCGGCCTAACCCACCGCGCTACATCCACGCTTTGTGACCACACCTTTATTTTTAATAAGAGCTACTCAAGGGTGAGTAACTCTTCAAAATAACCGAACTAAAACAAAAAGCTTTTGTGAAAACAACTAACTAAAATCATGATTAAAAAATATTAAACTAATAAAAGTTTTATAAAATGTAAAATCACATGATGCAATATATAGATCAGAATACAACACCAAGGACGAACATCAAAAGACAAGACGACCTCACTACACTCGAGAGAGAATAACCAACTACAATCGATATGCCGCTCACAATCACAACTCAAAGGATTTAGAGTACGACTTGACTTCGCAGAAAAGGACTTCATTGAACTAGACCAATGACCACCTCGATGTTCAAGTATACGTACAGATCCGAGAAACCAGGCATCCCCTCCACGCACAATCTCCACGCCATTCCCAAGCTAGATCAGACACAAAAGAAGTTCTCCCCGAAGAACAGAAAAACCTGACATAGCCAACCATTCTGAAATCAGAATTGATTTTGTTGCAAAGACTCAGTCGTTGTCACAAGAAGAAGCGGAAGAAAATTATGATGTTCGCCAAATACCAACGTCCATCATCCACCCTTGAATTACAGAAGAACTGTTCTAAAAAACTCTGTAAAACCCGGATGGGTGGAACCTGATCTAAACTATATTTTATGATTGGATAAATTAAATGTTTTACCAATGTAAAGTATTTAATATTAACCAATCATGATCCATCTAACTAACAACCCACTTATTTGTAAGTGCTGAAGTTACTTGTAATTTCAGCACCAGAGAGATTTGAATTTAACTTAGAAATTAGTTGGACTCTCCCGAGCACTTCAGCAACCGCAATAAACCAGTATACCCTAGATCTATTGAGCCTAGCAGAGACTAGTTAAACAACCTGAGACTAGATAGTATAAGAGTAAGATTAGGATCGGTATTAGACTAAGAAGTTGCACGAATCTATCCGGCCGAAAATAAGATAGCGTGACGAGCAGACGGTGTACCCTATCCGAAATTACTCTATGAGTTACACTTCGGTCCTAACTCAATTTCGATATCTTATTGGATTTGAAATGACGGCAAGTGGAAAAAGTTTTGAAACTTCTTTTAGATTTTCAGATTTTTCAAAAAAAGAAAATCACCTCTACCTGTTGTGATTTCTTCTTTGCAATGTCCACAGCTTTTCGTCTTTTCGGTATTTCCGGCAACATGTATGCATTTTGAGCAAAATAGTTTTGCATCTCTCGTGAAGATCGAGTCGTTATTTATTTGAATGTCACAGGAAGAACATCGAACGCATTCGCTGTGATATTTTACTCCATAGAGTGTGACTTCCTGAAAAATTTTCAAAAACTAAAGTATACGAGATGAAATTTCCTTTTAATTGAAACATAAGGTTAGCGTTTTGCGCTATATGTGACATTTATGATGAGATGTATAGTGTATATTTGCTTCTTTTACCTGTTCTTTGATAGGTTGCTCACATCGGATGCAGAGGTCCCATGCATACTCTTGATCTGTTCTGCCCGCCGACTGAAAAATTTTTTAAAACTCGGTGAATGTGAATTACACAAGCGACAAGCAACGTGTTATAATTGGACAAAACAACATTATCTGGCAAACATTTTTTCTTACAGGAAGTTATAGAAGTACTAGATCTAATTTTTCCACCGAATATGGCATGGCAATGGCGCTGAGCCAAGCCAATCTACTTGTAACTGGTTTCTTTGTATTGTTTCGCCAGATTTTTAATTATTACTCTTTTGGTTAAATGGTGCTCAACTTAATATTTATTAGGAAATACTGACTGCTTAATGATTTATAGCATTTTCAGAAAATGTTTTTTTGATTGAATGATTTTTTTAAAGAAAATGAGCATATTTTTCGACACAGGAAATTCAAATATCTTTTGCTTTACAAAAATATATGCTTTTGATCTGGAGTAGGTCATGGCATCGTGGAAACAGTGCTTTATAATCTGTTTTTTCATGAGACAGGTTTGTTATGAAAAAGCTTGTGGAAATGAGTTTATGAAAAAACTTCAGTAAAAATGGTTTCTCAAAAGATCTTAAGAATCAAATTTACTGACGGAAGGATCTCAAGCCTGAAAAATGTTATAAAAAAACACTGTATTAAATTATTTTCCAATATTAAAAATGGCTGACGTGCTTTCGATTTCAACCTCCATAAATTTAGGAGCTCATTAAAAAAATTAATCGATTTTTATTCAGGTATTATTAAACTTGCAAGAGAAAGTGTCTTGTATTTGGGAGCTAGACTTTTTTTCCCGTTAACAACTTTTCTTACAAATCTATAAGTAATTGAGCTTGCTTTATCATTGAACCTTAAGAACTTTAAGGTTCTCTAAGGCTCCTTCACATTTGGCATTGAGATTTTTTTTCCAATTTATCAATTTTAATTATAATTGACAGTCTTCCTGTAGATTTGTCACTTCACCAAATCAATTTTTGATTAAGTTCTAATTTTTTTTTCATTAAAATGGTTTCGGGCTAAAATTTATTGACATAATCAAATTATTTGTGTTTCAGGCTGAAATTTTTAGACTTAGTCAAATTATTTTGGGTCGTTGAAACGCAAAACTTGATATTAATTAGAAAAAAAACTCAAGAGTAATTTCAAATTTTAAACTCATTTGCTCAAAATTTTTGAAGACCACAGTTTTTTTCTTGCCTATTTTTGAAGGCATATTTTTTTTGCTTTCCACTCAACTTCTTCTCTACCCATTTTTCAGTTTAGTGGTTGCTCGTTAAATGATATTTAAAAGTCCTTCAATGCTGGTTGTTGTGTTTCTCATTTGCTTTTGTGAAATTAAACAATTTTGTTTTTCAAAAACTTCCAAAATTGCTTTTTTCAAATATATAAAAAAAATTTCCTAATCGTTGTTTCTGTCTTATTGTTGTGTTTCTTTTTGCTTTTGTAAAATTAAAGGATTTTTTCAAATATACAATTTTTTTAACCGTGTTTTTCATCATTTTGTTGTGTTTCTTTTTTGTTTTTGTGAAATTAAACATTTTTTTTTTCAAAAAAGTTTTAAAACTGATTTTTTTTTCAAAAACATATTTTTTCCTAGCCTTGGTTTATGCACACACGATGAGAAAAGATTATACAATTGTCAGTTGCATTGTATTTTTGTTTTGTTTTGAATATGCTACGCGCGATAGCAGAAACTGAGCTATCATTTGAAAAATGAAATTTGCTAAGTAAAAACGAAACTGGCAAATCATTTTCATAACTATTATCAGTGTATTAAGTTTATTTTTTATGCATGTGATTTTTTAAATACAATGAAGGCAATCAAAATTTTGGAGTATTGAGGTTGTTTTCAAAAGTTGGGAAGTTTTTGGTTGAAGTTAAATTGACTCAGCAGCCTCTAAAAACTTCAGTGCAGTAAAAAAAATGTTGCAATTAAGTTTTCTGGTGTTAATTGGTTTTTTCGCAATGGTAAATAAAAAAACTCAAAAACTCCAGTTTTTTTTGAGTTAATTTTTTTGAGTAAACAAATAAACGAACGCCTAATTAAAGCAATTAGCTAATGCTAATAGGATCACATACTTATCGCTACGCTTCCGTTCAAAAAACCTAAATTATCCAGTGTGCATTTTAAGCGGAATCAACAAAACATAATTTGCGTACACATTGCAACTGTCATCTAGTCGAATTGGAGTGGAGCAAGCGTTCACTGCATGCCTATTCAGCGTTTTAGCTAATTATAACAAAGAAATTCACAAAAAAAAAACACGATAAAAATAAAACACTAAAAGTGAGGATTCGCGCCCATCATGCGATCAATATTCAATCAGTTTCTGTAAATTCAACAATTTTATTCCGATGCAAACTTGATATCTAGTCTGAAACCCAATTTTTTTCAAAATCGTGGTGAAAAAAAACGAACAAAAGTTATAATTAGCGGGACATCTTTTTTCGTCTCACTTACTTAGTAGACGACGGAACATTTATGCTTGTGATGGTTTGTTCAGACCAATTTGTTTTTTCTACTACAATAAAGATATCAAATCATTAAGCTCCAATCCAAAAGAATGTTTTTTTTCTCGCAATCAATTTAATAATTTTCTGATAGTTTGTACAAGGTTAGTTTGGCCATCATCCGGGACTAATTTATGCAAAATAAAAATATCTGCGATGCTGAAAACGTACACAGGAATTGCATATGCGTGGCTCAATCTTGAACTCGAATTCAACTGGTGTAGGGTGTAGTGGTACTGAGTTAATGGAGTTAGTAATTCAGGAAATTAAACAATTTTTAATTTCGATTTTTCTGATTTCGTCCAAACTTCTGTAGGTTTACCTGTCGGGCGTTTTGGTGAAACCAATTTTTTTTACAATTGTTCCACATTTGTTGCACTCATTTTCGAGTAGCAGAATTCATAGTGTTTCAAACATTATATGTTCAAATCAATTCTTTCTTTTTTGGCTGATTTTGTTAGTGTTTATAAATAATTTCAAGCAACTCAGTGTCGTGACTAGGTTTGAGCATTTTTGTAGTATATCGATTCAAGGTGATGGCATATCCTAATATTTTGAATATAATTCTCATCGAGTTCGAATAAACAACATCGAACTCAATGAGACGGTTTTTTTTCTGGTTTAGGCTAAAAAGCCTAAAACTTGGCTAAAAAGCCTATTTTGTAAAACTTGTGTAGTTTTACTTAGCTGAGTACAACGTGTGTCTGATATACGAGGTGTTTCTGGCGTAAATTTTTTGGTCGCACCGGTCGTAAACTGCCAAGATTTGGTCGCTCCGGTCTTAGTTTAAGTGAAAGATCGCGACCAGGTGAAAAACTTACTTGTACAATAGGAAAAGAGGAGACGCTGAATGATAATTTTGAAGTCATTACGAAAGGATGACAGAGCAAGAAAGTATAGTCAAAGAAACTAAATACGCATCTTTTATTTGCTGATGTTGTTTATTCGAACTCAACATTGTAAATTGTGTAGTTTAGAAATACTTTAAAGAGTTGCGTTGAGAAATTTCTAAATAACAAATGTAGCTAATGCATTTGGTTTCAAAAAATGAAGTAATTAGGTCGCAATATTACGCAAGAATTATACCTAAAACATCGATTTTTTTTCTGGTTTAATTAACATTTCAGTTGCTTAAGAACGGTCGCACAAGTTACTTGATATGGCCATGCTATTCTCAAAGCTCGCCAAAAAAGTTTTTGGACAAAACTTTCAAAAAATACTCAAAAATGTCATTTTCATTCGGTTTTTTTTTTTCAAAAAGTGTCATTCCGCATCCCGCTCAAAATGCTAAAAACAAACCCTGTTTTGCATTAAAAAATTATGCGCTGCATGCAAACATTTAAAAAAAATCGGCATAAGTGCTTTTCTAGGAGTTTTTTGGAAGGTTTTGACAAAAAAAAAAACGAATTTTCTGGCGCGCTTCAAGAATACCATGATAACTTCGGGTTTTATTGCAACTGCTATTGAACGATTAAAATTTAAATTTAGCCTAAAAACTACAATATTTTATTTGTTTTTGAAAAGCTTGCAAGATCTCTCTGAAACTTATAAAAAATGTCGACGAAAATATTGAAAAAAGCCAATTTGAAAAACAGTTCCTACAATTATTGCTCTGCGTTTAAAATGTAAACAAGCCCATTACGGTCGCTTTAATTTCCATAGAAATCAAACTTTCCCTTACTTCCAGCATTTTCAATCTGAATGTTTTCAAAGACTTTCACGACTATCATGAAACTAAAGTTCTTTTGTTATGGTCTTTTTCAAATTTTTTTCATAAATAACAGCCCTGTTTGGTTAAAAAAGGTCACAACTATATTACCGAGCTAACAAATATATACCAGTTAGCTGTTTCTGATTAACCATACTTTTCTCATTGAAAAATCTTTCAATTAAGTCAGATATTTGGTACAGTTGTAAAAATACATCAGTTTTTACCAAGTCACAAAATGCACGAACATCCCTGTACCCGCAACCATATTCGTTAGGTAGATTTCGTTAACCCACGTCCACTCGAAAGGTTTTCATTTATATCACAATGGGTCTCATCACTAACTAAGCCTTCCTTAAAAGTTGAGGTTGTTTACGATACTTACCATAGTGCCAAACTTTTACTTAGTTTTCACTATGGACTGGCTCCGAATAAAACTTTTTCAAACCCGCCTTCCCTGCATACATATGGGTGAGGAACAGCTTTTGCTCTTCTAACGAATTTTTTCTCCAGAGCGACATTATTTTTTTATGGCGAGTACAACAAACCTTCGAAGTTTTTTCACTCCACTCTATTGTAAATTAACCAACAGTTTTAATCTTCTGAAATTTGTGAATACCAATTTTACTCTGAATTATATAACTCGTTTTTTAGGACGGCTACTACTAGACCGTTTTAACACTTCACAAAAACGTTTACTGCTTACAACGATGTACAAATCGTCGATGGCGTTTTTGATGAGTAAATCTTCAGTGACGAACTGATCATTATTCTGTTTGTTGGATTTCTGAACGGTGACAAACCCCAACCTGTCCTCATACACTTCATTTGCGATAACCATGACAAGGTTCTTGAAAATCTGAAGACCCCGACGTCACCTTTTTTTGTCAAATCAGAAATTACTAGGGCAAGGAACACAATGGACGAAGTATTACCGTTTGAAGACGACGACGAATAGTTCCCGCAACCACACAATTCTGTTAAAATTTTTTCACGTCCACATTAGTTTTAACGTCAAACTGGCCACTTTCCCCAATTATTCATTTCTACCTTTTGGAGCAATAACAGTGCGACTTGCATTTCTTGAGCGACAACTATTTTCCCCCAATGCATTGCCCGAACTACAGACAAAAATATTACTTCATTTCTAACGAGACCGATGGAAGCCTCGATGGCGAGCTCGATTTTTTCAACAGCTAGGTACCTGAATAACACCCGTTTTATCTATCTCTTCATTCAACAATTTAATCAATCAATCAGTCAACCAATGATTCAACCAATCAACCGTTTCAATACTCTGTGTTGAAAAATCAAAATTTTTCTGGCCTCATCTTCATGTAGCAAATCAACCCTCTTTTCTTACACCTAGCTCTTACTGACTCTCTAATTCTCATTCATTTCACAAAAAGCTAATAGTCACTTGAAAAAAAAAACGTTTTTCTTGTCAGGAAATGTTGATCCGAATCAGCACTGAGAAATTTCGGCAACCCACTTGTGGCCAGTTTTATCAAGCTACTTTTTCCATCCTTTGATTAAACTTCAGTTACGCCCCTTCACCTCAGGGAATGAGCTTCACGCAAAAAGATGAAAATAAAACGGCCTCTAGAACCCTAATTTTGTCAGATTTTTTCTTTTTTAAAATTGGCTAGTTACATTCTCCTTAAAACAGGAATTACTTAAAGTGATCCCAGATATTGTACTTTTTTTTTGCTTTTCATTTCAAAGCTGTTTCTAGCTCTATTCTTCACTTCTAAGAAAAAAGTTTTTTCACGATTTCTTTTAGATTCTTAAGATTACCTTGGCATCACATGCAGAACTACTGTAGTAAGTTCAACGCCTGGAAGGAAAGATTTCAACAAAAATTCCGAAAATTGCCAAATGCCAAATTTTGTATTGTTCGAAATTTTTTGGGCGATACTCAAGCAAAACTCGAGAAAAACAGTTTTCAAGTCCAAAATTCGAAAAGAAATTTTTATGCCCACAACCTATTCGAAGGTTCAAGAAAAAAACATCATTTAACCACACAATTTGGTGCAACAGACACAATTAGCATATTTGAAACCAGCTATTCACGGAAAGATGCATTTTTCAAGGTTTTCCCTGATAAGGTTTTTAAGTTTCTCTCCACGAAACAAGTTTTTCTCCAGACATTTCTGTAGAATTTGGTTTCATGTCACTTCACACAAATCAAAAATACGGAAAAGTTTAAACCTCATTCACAATTGAGCGAAAACTCACTTTTGTACCAGCACGACAAAAGATTCAACGCGGCTTGCCCACAGCACAGGCTGCCTTGAATGAACTCTCGATTTATAATAAAAAACCCAACTACCCTCGTGAATTGTCAAAAACGCTGGTTTTTTTACAATCTCTTGACACTCCCTTTATGAAGGAAAAAAAATGATTTAAAAAAATTTGAGTAAACTGCTGAGATGCGTCCAGCTTAAGAGACACTGAAACTTTAAAGCTGACCTGCCTTATCAATTTTTGGGAGTAGGAAGCTCAGCAATTGCAAATACTCAGCTTCGGCCAGCGCGATCCAACGATTCACCCTGCAGGCACGCAAATGACGATTTGTTATAACAGTGGCAGCATGAAGTGGATGCTTGAAACTTACAGGAGAGTCGTGCACAGCCAACGCCCTTATGACCCACATCCAGCGATGATCCTGTCTCTTGCTCATGTCTCTCAGCCCACGGTTTTGCAAAGCCGTAATCATTTTCTACAAAAAGTTTCTAGGGCTCTTTCACAGCGGATACTAAAACGAATCTTCCTCGGCGCGTAACGATTTTCCTTTCCCATACTACCAACTTTCAAACCACAAGCCTCCCAGCCAAAAACTTGTGCAGGAACACTATTTAAAAAAAAAATCCAACACAGGATGTCCGCAAATCGCAGGCTGGAACAATACTCTCGTTGCCGAAGGGGTGAAAAAACGAAGGCCATCCACGAAACATTCAGGAGGTCTTTGTCTCACTAGAACTAAGAAAAAGCGGGGACAAGTAAGCAATTTTTATGAACGCCCTAGAGCAGTTCCACGCCGAAAAATCAGATAAAGTTTCCCTCCTCTCCTAAGGACATCTTGGAAACATAAACGTCCTCTTCCACTTTCAATTGAGCCTGCGTCCACCAAGCCCGTAGAGATGTCGGACAGTTCCGACATCTCCTCTCGGTCCAGTGTCCCGGTGGAAGTGACAAAATCTTGGCCTTGTTCTACCGGAGTAGATTCATTCGCCAGACTTCTGTTTCCTCTCCCCTCCGGTCCATGTATTTCCCGGTTCTCATTCATGGCCTTTTCGCTTCTAGCATAGCTTTTCGCTCTTCTGAGGACTTTTGACTTTTGCAGGGTTTCATCAAAACCCTTCGCAGTCAACTCGTCGGGAACCTCGCATTTCAAGCTCTCTCAAAATTGTAACGTCCAATGCCGTGACGGGCCCTGCAATTTACTGCTCTGAGAAAATTCTTGATAATTTCTGCTTCTTTTCGATGGCTTGGGTAACGCATCTAAAAATCGCAAAACCTTATAGGCACTCGACACACCGCCTAACTCGTTCAAAAACTCGGGACGGAACTGAGCATCTCCTCCGATTCTATTGACTGAATGTCGAAATACGCTCGCACTTTCCCTTACAAAGCAATTTTACCCGCAAACAAAACCAGTTTTATTCCTGGCGCAGACAAAATCAACCTCGAAAAAATCGGCCCGAAGTTTATCTATTTCAACTAGCAGACCACCTGGGCCGCGGAACCTTCTAGGTGTAGGAAAAAATCCTTCTCTATTAACATTCAATCGGAATCATCAACTATCAACTAAAGATTTACAATAGCTTTTTTAGCTTCTTTCTCATCATTAGCCCCAAACTCATTTACAATTAACTCGAAAAAATTCTGTGATTTCGGTTTTGTAAATAAACTAAACCGTCCAGATATTTTGATAATTAAAACTTAACTAACCTACATCTGTAATTACTTTACAAATACCTTCACAAGTTGTTAGCCAACCTGAGGTTGACAGGCAATCGAAGAAAGCAATCAGAAAACTCAAATATATTTTATATTCTCAAAATACGAATGATATCCCCTGACGGCACAAACCGAACAAACAAAGCTTATTACCATTTCGCCGCATTTTGCTTGACCTCATTAGTGATTTTGTTTCCTATTTTTCTCCTAATTATACCCTTTTACAAAACCCATTTTTATCACTAACAGGCTCTGAAATAAATTCTAAGAAACCATTTT